GGCTTTTGTTTGACAAGTGTTTGAATGTTGTTGGCTCGGGCCTGGTGTTGATTTCTCAGAATTATTGGGGCTTGATCACTGAAATATGAATTGGATCCTGATCCGTGGGTTAGGCCCTCTTAGATGCCCATTAATATCAGTATGCCCATTAGTATCATACATTTTTGTAATTAATTCTTCTTAACTCCACTGTCAAGTTATTTTTCTATTATTTTAAGAGCATTTGACGAGAGGTATCTTAATATATAATATCATAGAAGAATAGCTCCAAACTTCATAGTCTTCAAATTTTTTGCCCGATTTTAATTACTAATTTCTATTGTTGTATATAAAAACCACAAATGGGTCATAATTTAGATTTGACCTTTTTTATCTTTCATTAAAATGCAAATTATTTTAATTTTAAAATTTGTCACTGAGAGGGTAAGTTGTGAACAAATTGGGCCGAGTTAGGAAAAGTCTTCTTTGGAAGTTAGGCCACGCAATGGGTCGAGATAAAAGCTGATGTAGTTTGGTCTTGGCCTAAGAAGACACTAGGTCGGCCAGAGATGAATGTAGTCCTTTATCAGACCGAGATGTTGTCAATGGAGAGAGCCGTGCTATGTGTAGCTCGGCAGGGTGTAATTCGATAAGTCGGCTTCCGGTCACACGACCCGAACGACAAGGGACTGAGATAAGGCAGCTCGGTCAAGAATGTATATCCAAGCATAAGGGAGTGGCCATCTCACTTGGTTTGTAGTGATAATGGTGTTTTAAGGATAAGTATTATCTTTGGGTATGAGAGTCCTAGGAGAACTCTGCTGAGTAGAGTAGAGTCCTACTAGGATTGTGCAAACCATCTCACTTGGTGGTTAATGAGTATAGTGCTATCAAGATTGACACACTTCATTGGGAGTGTGATTCCTAGGAAGACTCTTATAAGGAGAATTGAAATCCTACTAGGATTGTATCAGGCAGAATCTATAAAAACTCATAACAGAACCTATGTATAGGTATCCCAATTCTTACTCTGGAATACACAGAGCTTTTGTGTCTATTGTCTATTTGCTGACTTAGGCATCAGAGAGGTTTCCGGCACACATCCGTCGGCTAACTCACGTTTGTATTTTCAGGTGGCAAAGCGACGACGCTTGGAGGAGTGCAAACTTGATCAACAGGATTATACGAGAAGATTATTTATGTGCTTGTACAATCACTTTCATCCTATTGTTGCACCAATTAATAAAAAATAATAGAGAGTGATAAAAACTTAACTGCTATGTAAATTAAAATAAAGACAAACATAGATTTCAATAAAAAAATAAATGACAATAGCACTTTTCATCTATATGATTAGCGAAATGTTGATAAAAAATAATCAAATTATTATATAAATTAAAACTATAAGGGAGACTGTTTTGATTATGCAAAAAATATAGAGCTAATTATAATTTACTTAAAACTTAAGAAGGTAAATATAATTTACCCTAAAACAATTTCTTTTTGTCAACGAAATTCTTTAGATATATTAATGGTGAGATTTTTCCCATCTACTTTTCATATTTTTTAATATTTTAAATTAGAAAAATGACTTCATTCCAAATTAATCTCATGTTAAACTTGTTTGGCTTATTTTCATTGGTGAGAAAAAAAAGGACAAATTTAATTCTACATCAATGTTATAAATACAAAAAAATTATCAAATTTTATACCACATTCGCATGATTATGAGATGCCCCATCCATGTGAATATTTGATAAAAAAACTGGTAAAAGTTTGTGTCTAGCATGTGCCAACAAAACCATACAAATGTTCAACTTTGATTGTAATAATGATGACATTCAAGCACCAAAGTGGTTTTTTGGGGCAACTAGCACTAAATAAGTTGCATTTTTTATTTTATTTTATTTTTCACTTTTTAACTATTTAATTCATAAAAAAAATATTTGGCTATAACTTATAGTTGGCAATTGTGAAAATAATTTTTTGTAAGAAAAAAAATTTAAGGCATTTGAATCATAAAATCTAAATTTTATTTTGTTTGAGCAATTGCCACGATCTTTGTAATTTGTTTTTTAAAAAAAATTAACTATTGGTATTTTTCTATAATAATATAAGAAAAATATATAAAATAAATTAATATAAATGACAAAATTATTTTCTTTATTAAATGATAAAATACAGAATAAATGACACAACTAAATACAAAAAATAAATTATATTAAATTACTAAAAGAATAAATTATTAACATGAAATTTAAGGCATTTGAGTCATAAAATCTAAATTTTATTTTGTTTGAGCAATTGCCACGATCTTTGTAATTTTTTTTTAAAAAAAAAATTAACTATTGGTATTTTTCTATAATAATACAAGAAAAATATATAAAATAAATTAATATAAATGACAAAATTATTTTCTTTATTAAATGATAAAATACAGAATAAATGACACAACTAAATACAAAAAATAAATTATATTAAATTACTAAAAGAATAAATTATTAACATGGATAATTAAATATTAGAACTCGTCGAGGTAAACTAAATTCTGTAAAATTAAAGAACAAATAATAAGAAAAGAAGTAATTTGGGTCTGCGTGGTTTTGTATTCTCTTAAGTGAGAAGATTACGATACATAAATAATGATTTGAAATCATTGAATTGTAAATGAGAATTGTCTCATAAAGTGGACATTAATAAAGTTGGGTTTAGATTTGAACTTAGTCTTGGTTTGGACTGGGCCTAGACTTGTACTTATGCATGTATTGGGTTTGGTCTTGAACTTGGACTTAGTCTTGAGTTTTGAGCTGAGCTGTACTGGGCTTAGGTTGTACATGTGTTTGAGATTGGGCTTGGATCAGGCTGTGACCCAACATTCGTATCTATTTTGCAACCCATCTAGTTTAATTCTCAAAACTTATACATTATATTATATAATGGTTTTGAAATTTTAAACTTTTTGAATCTCACTTTAATTTATAATTAAAATTACTGAAAATCTATTATTTTTCAATAAGAATGATAACAATTTAAAAGATCATATTATTCGTATCTGTCTATTCATTTATCTGACCACTTATCCTTTTGTCTGCAATCACTGGCCACCATCGCCGACTGCGGATGACTTTTCCAACGCTGGCAAAATTTTCAATGAGTCAATAGTGCTGTTTGGTGTAGCTGTTAAAATAGATTATAGATTATAGTTTAACAAATTATAGATTATGACTTTAATCAGAAGTTGTTAATATGTTTGGTATAGCTGTTGGATTATAGATTTAAATTGCTGAGTAATGTTTGTTAAATAAGCTGTGAAGTAGTTTTTTCAATTAATTTTTATTTTTTATTATTCACCATTTGTCTACATTTCTCATAAAAAATAATAATAATATTTATAGTCCATTTGGGTCTTTTTCTATTTTTAAAAAAATAAAAAAAATAATAATTTAAGAGTATAATTGTAAATTAACATGTTCACCGTAGAAACTGATAATCAGAAGCAAGGGGTGAGCAGCTTCTCAGAATCAACTTTTTTGACTTAAAATAAGTTATTAGAATCAGAAACTGTTTAAAATAAGTTTAACCAAATAATTCAAAATAACTTTTTAAAAATCAAAAGCCATAAATTAACTAAAAAAAACTCTACCAAATACCCCCAGTGACTTGCGGTTGGCAACAGTGGGCAATGACAGTCATGGATGACAATTAATACTAAGGGATTGTTTGGAGTGTCCTAAATAAGTGTACTTTTTATCTTTTTGGACTAAAAAGTTGAGGGGAAAAATATGGATGTTTAGGTTAACTTTTTGACTTTTTATGAAAAAATGTGTAATAAAAAATTGTAAAAATTGGTTTGTAGAAAAAAATTAGGATTGGGAGTTGTGCAGCCGTAATTGTTGACTTTTGATGAATAGTGTTAACTTTTTAACTTTTTGAATAACTTTTTGACTTTTTAACTTTTTTTAAGTATCCTAAACTTGGCCTAATATTTGGAAATAGAGAGAAAAAAAACTATAACGATAAAAAAAAAAAACAGTAATTATGTATTTATAACCAAAACAAGCCAATCATTGAATCAAATATCATTTACATTTATAAAAATAAATATCTCAAGTAATTTTTTAAAATTTTTGTATTTGTTTGGCAATTATTGAAAATTCATATATTCTTTCTCTTAAAACTTTTAATTTTTTTGGGAAATTGCACTTTTTTTCAAAAAGTGCTGCAAATTAGTAGAAACGTTTATAATTTTAATTTTTAAAATTATAAAATTTTATATAAATTGGTAAATATTTGATAGAAACTATGCACCTGTTTGATTCTAATTTTATGAAAATTAAGTTTTTTTTTTTCTTCATGTTTTTTGTTTTTAGTATTTTTTAAGTAATTAAGTAATTTTTTATATTTTTTAGATGCACATAATTTATATGTACTTAAAAAATAAATATGTATAATAAAATATTTTAAAAAATTAATAAATATAGAATAATACGAAAATATATTAAATTTTTGTATATATATTTTTATATTTTTGGTATTTAGTGATTTTTAAATTTTTTTTACAAATATTATATTTTTTAGAAAAATATTATAGACATAATATATGGTTTCGTTGAAATATCATTATTATAAAATAATTAAATCAATCGGATAATAAAAATCACATATTCGGATTAATTTTGTATAAAATAAAAATAAAAATAAACAATTCATATAAAATTGATCTGAACACGTATTTTTTGTTATACGATCGACTTATTCTTTTGTAAGAATAATATACTCAATAAATTTTAAATGAGTAATGATTCATCCCCATTTTTCCCCCACCCCTTTGACCCCCTCTCTCTCTCATTGATTACCTTTTCTTTTTCTTTTTCTTTTTCTTTTTTTTCCTGCTCCACCAATCACCCCTGCCACGTGACAAAGGGGGTGAGGAGGTGACCCCAAAAGAGGTCCCAACCATTATTCTTAAAAATAATATCAATCTGGCAAATGAAGGCTAAAATCAGCGGAACGTCCAAAGTGACCCAAACCTCCCACCCTTGAAGATTTGGGTCTCTCTCTCTCTCTCTATCTAAAACCTTATCGTCTCTCACTCCTCTTCTTCTCTGCACAGCTCACAACCATCCCTCAACCCAAACCCTTATCAAAAACCCTCTCAACCCTAAGAAAAACCACTCAAACCCAAACCCAACATCTACAACTCTCTCAAATTTCGATTATTTGGCGCAAACGACGGCTCAAATTCTCTCTCTCTCTCTCTCTAAAGCCTTATCGTCTCTCACTCCTCTTCTTCTCTGCACAGCTCACAACCATCCCTCAACCCAAATCCTTATCAAAAACCCCTCAACCCTAAGAAAAACCATTCAAACCCAAACCCAAACCCAACACCTACAACTCTCTCAAATTTCGATTATTTGGCGCAAAACGACGGCTCAAATCAATGGACTCCAACCAATCCACATCTCATTTCTCCAACTCTTCGTCACCATCATCAGGTTCTTCTTCTATCGATATCTCTCCTCCTTTTGATTCTCAAATCGATACTTTTGTCAAAACCAATGCTTTCAACTCTGATTCCAAACCTATCAACAGTAATACTAGTATTAGAAGTAGTAGTTCTGATGATGGGGGTTTTGTGAGTGGTGACGAAGAGTTTGAAACTGTGTCGGAGAAGCCTGTTGTGGTTAACCCAGATGAAGAAACCCCAGAAAAGGTTGTGGAAGGGGTGGACATTCGCGACCCTGTTTTGGGTTCTCCAGAATTTTACACTCCGATGCCGGTTGCGGTCGCCATGCCTGTTGATGATGTCGAAAAATTTCCTAAAGCTAGGGTTTTGTGGGGTGAGGAGGTTGAAAAAGATGGAGTTGTTGATGGAATGGGCTCGAATTCCACTGTTGGTGATGGTGTTACTGATTCGATTCCATTCGATGCCATGGAGTCTTTTGAGGAAAAGCCTGAAATTTTGGTAGAAATGTTGGGTGAGAAGTCGAATTTGAATGAATCGATTGAAGAAGGTGGCTTCGGTGTGACCCATGATGGCTCTGCTGAGGTTTTAACTGGTTGTAATGGAGATAAGGTGGCTGATACTTCGAAATTGGATGAGGTTGTTGTGAGTTCTGAAGTTGGAGAGAGCTTGGTGTTGGATGGTGAGAAGGTTGAGGAGGAGAAGAAGAGTGAGGCTTTGAGTGGTGAAGAATCATCAGTTTTGAGCCCTGACAGTAACCAACTTGAAGATAAGATTGTAGAACCAGTAAACTCGGAGTTGGCGGGAGAAGATGGGGTGAAATTTACCACTAATGGAGACTCTGTTGTTGAATCCATACGGGTCAACTTGTCGGAGCCAGGAGCGGCTGTGGTTGGCGAGACGGAGGTAAGCAAGGATCAGGTAAACCCAGCCGTGGTTAGTGGAGGATTCGTTAATGGGTCCGATGATAAAATTAGCCATGATGTTGAGAAAGCTGATGATTCAGACGTGGTTAAAGTTAATACTGATTTTGAAAACAATATTGAAACTTCAACCAACCGGAGTGTGGAAGTGGAAGAATCAGAGCCATTAGGTGAGCAAGAAGCTGATTCCAAGGCCGTGGTTAAGATTTCTGCTGATGGAGGTGAACTTGTGTCTAGCAATGAAGTAGTTGGTGCGGATAGAGATGGGTTGCAAGGAGTGGACTTTGTAGATGACTCTACACTCTCTAATCCAGCTCAGGAGGCAAAACACCGTGACCTCGATGGTGCTCAGGATGATGGATTAGAAGAAGAGTTCTCTGATGAATCTGGTTTGATTCAGAACTCACAGGTACTACTAGAAGCTGAAGACGAAGGGAAAAACCATACAGATGAAGGCGGCAATATTGGAGGCTCATTTTCAGATGGGGAGACTGATGGTATGATATTTGGAAGCTCTGAAGCTGCCAAACAGTTTATTGAGGAGTTGGAACGGGGAGCTGGTGCTGGTTCTCATTCTGGTGCAGAGAGTTCTTATGATCAGCAACAGAGAATTGATGGTCAGATTGTCATAGATTCGGATGAAGAAGCAGACACTGATGAAGAAGGAGAGGGAAAAGAGTTGTTTGATTCTGCTGCATTGGCAGCTCTATTGAAAGCAGCAACAGGAGGTGGCTCAGATGATGGCAATATCACAATAACTTCTCAAGATGGATCGAGGCTGTTCTCAATTGAGCGTCCTGCTGGTTTGGGATCCTCAATCAGGCCTTCCAAACCTGCTACCCGGCCAAATCGGTCCAGCCTTTTCACTCCTACTGGTCTCACAACTGGGGGAGAATCTGAAAATAGCTTGAGTGAAGAAGATAAAAAGAAACTGGAGAAGTTGCAGTTAATAAGGGTGAAATTCTTGAGGCTTGTTCAGAGATTAGGTGCTTCTCCTGATGAATCTGTAGCTTCACAAGTTCTATACCGAATAGCACTCATTGCTGGGAGACAAACAGGTCAAACTTTTAGCCTTGACGATGCCAAGAGGACTGCTATGCAGCTTGAAGCAGAGGGGAAAGATGATTTGGACTTCTCTGTGAACATCCTCGTTCTTGGAAAATCTGGAGTGGGCAAAAGTGCGACCATAAATTCTATTTTTGGTGAAGAGAAAGCTTTAATTGACGCATTTGAACCTGCCACTATGAATGTGAAGGAGATTAGTGGAACAGTTGATGGAGTTAAGATTAAGGTCTTTGATACGCCCGGTCTCAAGTCTGCTGTAATGGAACAGGCTTTCAACCGCAGAGTCTTGTCTTCTATAAAAAAGTTCACAAAGAAAAGTCCCCCAGATATTGTCCTTTATGTGGACCGGTTGGATACCCAGACTAGAGATCTTAATGATTTGCCATTACTTAAGATGATCACTAGTTCTCTGGGCCCATCTATCTGGCGTAGTGCCATAGTCACCCTTACACATGCTGCTTCTGCACCGCCAGATGGACCATCTGGTTCTCCTTTGAGTTACGAGGTTTTTGTAACTCAAAGATCCCATGTTGTTCAGCAATCCATTGGACACGCAGTCGGTGATCTGCGAATGATGAGTCCGAGTTTGATGAACCCCGTTTCTCTTGTTGAGAACCATCCTTTGTGTCGCAAAAACAGAGAAGGCCAAAAGGTGCTCCCCAATGGCCAAACTTGGAGACCACAGTTACTGCTATTGTGCTACTCTATGAAGATCTTGTCAGAAGCAAGTTTTCTCTCAAAACCTCAAGACCCATTTGACCACCGGAAGCTCTTTGGCTTCCGTGTTCGCTCACCGCCTCTTCCATACATGTTGTCTTCAATGTTGCAGACTCGGGCTCATCCGAAACTTCCCAGTGATCAGGGTATTGAGAATGGTGATTCTGATATTGACTTGGCTGACTTGTCGGATTCCGATCAAGAAGAAGAGGAAGATGAATATGACCAGCTCCCACCATTCAAGCCCCTTAGGAAATCTCAACTTGCTAAGCTTAGCAAAGAACAGAGGAAGGCATATTTTGAAGAGTACGATTATCGGGTGAAACTCCTTCAAAAGAAGCAGTGGAGAGAGGAGTTGAAAAGAATGAGAGAGATGAAGAAGAAAGGGAACGATGCTACTGCAAATGATTATGATTTCGTAGGAGAAGATGCCGATCAAGAAAATGGAAGTGCAGCGCCCGTGTCGACTCCATTACCTGACATGGTCTTGCCGCCTTCCTTTGATAGTGATAGTCCAGCATACAGGTACAGGTTCTTGGAGCCAACTTCACAATTTTTGGCAAGGCCAGTTTTGGACACTCATGGTTGGGACCATGATTGTGGGTACGATGGGGTCAACCTCGAACAGAGTCTAGCCATTGCGAGTCAGTTTCCAGCAGCGATTTCTCTTCAAATCACAAAGGATAAGAAAGACTTCAGCATCCACTTAGATTCCTCAGTTTCTGCCAAGCACGGGGAGAATGGATCGAGTATGGCCGGCTTTGACATTCAAACTATTGGAAAACAACTTGCCTACATCGTCCGAGGTGAAACCAAATTCAAAAATTTGAAGAAGAACAAGACAGCTGCGGGGTTTTCTATTACCTTCTTGGGTGAGAATATTGCTACTGGATTGAAGGTTGAGGATCAGATTGTGTTGGGAAAGCAATGGGCTTTGGTGGGTAGTGCTGGGACCGTTCGATGTCAAGGTGATGCGGCATATGGAGCCAATTTTGAATTGCAGCGTCGGGAGCTAGATTACCCTATTGGCCAAGTCCAATCCACATACGGGCTCTCTTTGATTAAATGGAGGGGGGACTGGGCTTTAGGGTTCAACACTGTAGCTCAGTTTTCCATGGGACGTAGTTCAAAGGTGGCTCTTCGAGCAGGAATCAACAATAAACTCAGTGGGCAGATCACTATAAGAACAAGCAGCTCGGAGCATCTGTCTATTGCACTCGCGAGTATTATTCCGATTGCCACTGCTGTCTACAAAAAACTCTGGCCTGCTGTTGGTGAAAATTACTCAATCTACTAGATGCAATTTCATTCAGGTTGTTGCAGTCTTTAATCCATATTAAAAATGGCATCAACAACTAGATAGCTCGAGCATGGTTTAATCTTCATCATTTTCTTGAGTAATGTTTTAATTTATTTAATTAGAACTTCTGCTGATATTTTGGCGTAATGAACTGTATTAAATGTGAGATGGAACTGAGAGGGAGCACATTATCGATTGTTTTATTATGTCTACTTTATTGAATAATTTAGAATTACCTTGTGTGCTCTATTGTTGGAAATTGATGGCTGCTGTATTTATTGTGCTACGTCGCCTATATGCGAATGATTCACTTTGGCACATATTTGATTCACAACATATAATCATTCATGATGTTAAGAGTTATTCACTTGTGAGGTTAAGATGCACACCCTTTTGATTTTTAACACTTTAATTGACAACAGGATTATTTAGTGGTCCTGTAGTGTGATTTAGGATAATTAAAGAATGGTTGAAGAGGATTCTACAGATATAAATGAACCATGGTAAAAATCTTTTAGTTGTGTGTGAATCTGTATTTGAAGATCAGAAAGGTTGCCGCAAAACTAAGAAAAGGAGAAAGGAAAAAAAGGAAAGAGTAACTTTTGAAAGTGAAAGATATCGTAGTACCAGTGAGAACACCTCAATGAGTAATCCTTTTTGTGTGATTTGATTCAGATCTTCTGCATTGTTAACAGCTGAAAATGAGGTCACTGTGAATTAGAACATTAGCTAGAACATGCTTTTTCTTTCTGCTGTAATGGTTCATTTAATGGGTATTACTGGTGGTGGTGTTAATTCTATGTCTTAGAAAGAATGGGTTTGAATCTCTAAATTCAGTCACCTGTTTAATCATGCTAAAAAATTGGAAAAATGCGTATGTCTTTACATTTTTGAATTATGCACATGTTCTATTGCGGTTATTTACTGTGTTGTTTGTTTGATTTGATTTGATCAGGAACTGGAAATAGCATTTATGATGTTTGTTTGCTATAGAAGATGTGTAGGCTGTGGTTTCCAGATGGACTGGTCTTCCACTATGGAAATGTTAAGATAGTTCCTGTGCTTATTGGTTTGAATTTTTGTTCTTTGCTTGTTTGATTTGATTAGGAACTGGAAACAATATGTGCAAATGTACTGTGGTGTTTGTATGCTATTGAGGATGTTGTCTATGGTTTTCCTAAATGGACTGGTCTTTTTCCTCAGGAAATGTTAAGATAGTTCCTGTGCTTATGTTGAATTTGTTATTAGATTTGATTTGATTTGATTTGATTAGGAATTGGTAATAGCATGTGTACTGTATTGTTTATTGAAGTCACTGTGTAATGCTTTTGGGAACAGTTAAAAAATAGGATACACTGTTTGGTTTTGTGGAGCTTACTACGGGTCTAATTTTGACGATTCGAACTGTTTAATGTGTAAAACTCGTCAAGTATTTATTCTTGTAGAAAATTACGTTGATCGGATATCGATATCCATTTGATTGGAGCACATTTTTGTCAATAATTTATTTTTAAAATTATATTTACCATTGATAAAAATATTATTTAATCAAGTTACTATCGATATCCGATCAACGTGATTTTTTGTAAAAATGAAGTACTCGCTCTACACATTGAACGGTTTGGATTATCAAAATTAGACCCGTGGTAAGTTTCACGAACCCAACAGTACGCTCCAGTTCGATTTCAGACTGGAAACAAAAATAAATAAAATTGTCTTCGGTAATTTTTATTTATTTATTTTGCTTTGAAACTTTTTACTTTTCAAATTGAATGATCTAAACTTTTTAGTGAATTTTTTTTTTTTTTTTGAAGATCTGTTTTAGTAGGATTTAAGCAAATGTTTTGATTTTTTTTATAAAGTTGACTAGAGGCTAGGGTGGTTTGAGATGTTCTAAATAAGTGTATTTTTTGATTTTTTATAAAATATAGGTTGGGCATGGGTTGAATTTGAAGTGATGTGGTAGAGAGGTAATATGACTTAAATAAGATAATGTGACTTAAATAGGATAGTGATTTTTTAACCTTTTGAGTATATGCCAAACAAGGCCTAACAAAATTGTTTGAAAAACAATTAGCGATCCCTTAATTTTGTCCCTTTTCCATTTTGCTTGTTTTTGTACAAATTTGTGTGATTGAAAGAAGATTATGAATTTACCTCTTAGCCACTCTTGATGTGCATGTTTTGAGTTTATGGAGTTGAACTTACTGAATCAAACAAAAAAATTTGAACTTTTCAGTTCCATTTTTTGTTGAGCTTGTTTGAGCTCAATCAAGCGATCAATGCTAACTTTTACATTTTTTGGGTTCTATTTTTTACATTTTTGTGAATGTATATTTCATTCCAGGCTAAATAAGTGGTTTTATCAATTTTGTTTAGTCTATTTTTTTTGGTTCTAATATTTATGTTGTTTTGCTTAATTCACTTTATTAATTATTATTATTATTTTTATTATTGATTATTTTTATTGGTTTTTAGATATTAATTCAACTAGTTTTTATTGTTTATTTTCTATGTTTTCTGATTTTTTTGACTCTTATTATTTTTACGTTTATTTTGCATGTACTTTTTTATTCCAAATTTTAATTTACCATTTCTTATCCGTAATATGCTAAGCAAATAAAATTTTGTTATTTCTTCTATTGTTTTGTGTTTTCTGAGTTTATTTTATGTTAATATTTTCGGGGTTCTAATTTTGAAGTAGTTGTTTTCAAAACTTAATTCAATTTATTTTTTATATATGTTTTTGTTTTTGTGTTTTTGTTTATTCAATTTAATTTTTAAATTGTTTTTAGCTTTTATTTTTGTTGTTTTCTGCTGTGAATTTGTTGGTTTTTTTGACTTTCGAAGGTTAATATTGTAATTATAAGCGTGTCAGCAATGATCAATCAGTCCTTATAGAAAATTAATTGCCAACCAATTATCAGATGATTGTATTTTAGTTTTTTCAGCTTCAATAAAAAGAACTTTTACTAGTGGTTTGTTTAGGAGAATTTAGTAAATAACAATTAAGTGAAGAATAATTTCACAATTTTATTAAGTAAAATGAAAAACTTACAATGATCTGACCCAACCTTGTAGAGATTTACAGCAACAAGCTATTTGAAACTACTCCTATAAATGAAGTGCAGTACAAGAATTTGAAATATAGAAATGTAAAGAACTGTAAAAATTGGAAGGAAAAACAAAGTAAAGAAAACTGGTTTTTTTATCTGAGTTTGGATCCCTCATTATGGGGCCATTTCTGCTATTTATACTTCTCAATAATAACCATCGAAGTGGGCTTCCAACTGTCGAAATGTCCTCACATGATTGTTGAACATACTCTCTCAGAGTCAGTCCCACTACGCCACATTGCTGTTAAGCTTCCCTCTTAATTTTGAATTTGAACTTTGTGAGTAACCGTTAGATCACATCACCTTATATCCCTTAATTGTTCCAATGCCACGTAGATCTATTATTATCAATACGGGCTGACACGTGCCTGACTTTGATTGGCAACTTGTATTAACTTCCTAAATTGCCCCCTTCATGTCACGTGTTGAATTGTAATTGGCTTTTACAATTTATATAGCCAACATGGCCCCCCTGCACTAATATACCCATTACTTGGTGATATTAGTGGATCAAAGCACTTTACCCACGTCCTAAGACGTGCATGGGCTTTGCACCTTCTTAGAAATGCAACTGACGTCCTTCATCGCAGTATTTGTACTGCATTAAATTCTCTTATGTGCCTCGAACATTTCCCACTATCTGAGCATTCGAAAAGGCTGATACAGTTCGCATGGCCGAAAAAACCTTTTCTTACATAGATCAAGTATGTGAAGAGTTGTTAGATAATGATGTTCGCCTTAGAAATAATTTTCATGCATTTATTAGCCACACCTATCCATCTCCATTTATTCAAGTCATGAAAGCTTTTGCAATTCATCGACCTTTGGATCAAGAACCTATTGTTCACAATTCTTTAGTCCAAGACTTTACAATAATGGATATTGGAAGTTCTTCTTTTGCCACAAAACCTTCTACATGGGATGAGGCTGTTGCTTTCTCTTTTTCTTCTAAAGCTTCTAGCTGGGGAGTTTGGCCTACTCCTACTTAACCTCAAACGAGGGAACGCATCCATCATCGATTTCCTGAATTCGATGACCCTCTTGTAGTCCATCATTCCAAGCGTAGCTCTGTAGTGTACTCGTATATTCCTTTCAACCGTCTACGCAGCCTTGAGCACAACTTGTTTTCAGCATGGTACACTTATACTCTGCCATCTCGAATGGTGCGAAGGGCTCCACACCCTGATGAAGCCTTAGGAATCAGTCCTGCACTCCTAGCCAAAAGAGCAAAACTTTGCTCTTCTGATTGGCTTGAGTGTGTGAACAGACCTGAATTCCCATCTTCTTTCAGAGAGGCTTCCACTGCTCCTTTACTGCCCTCCAACCCAAATTGGATTGAGGAATTGAGGCTCACCATCTTCGAGAGTCAACACTTCACTCCATATCAAGTTCCAGTTCCCTCAACTGCTTATCAGCAATATAGAGCTCAGACCCGCTTGCCGCTTTTTCCCATTTGTCCTTCGAAGTCCTACGAGATGATATTCCTCATAAGAACCTGTTATGGGCTTGTGACATCATTTCTCGCTGCCATCTTCTCAACCCTGTAGCCCATGCAAAACTCCATGCTTTTCTAGACCAACTTCCTCTTCTACTCAATTGGCACATCAATGCTTCAATTACAAATGAAGTATTGAATGAAACTGTTGCTTCTCGAATCCAAATTCAGTACGAGGCAGAGAATCTCCTCGAATAATATGAAAACTTCAAAAACCCAGACTTAGAATATGGAGAAGATGCCATTATGGGCAAAGCACATAGAATTTGAAATGAAAGCCTAACAACTCTTCTTCCAATTAAGGGCTCATCAATTAAATAAACCAAATTTGGATATGATAGAAAATAGATTAATGAAAGAGTATATGTTTATTGATTTTTTCTGGACTAAGTTTCATGACCTTGTAACTTTGTCCATTCCTTATTTTTACGAAATTAAGAATGTAGCTAAATAAGTCTTCCCAATGTAAATATTTTATATCAATAAAGCTAGGCTTTTCTTTCTTTATTCGGCATGGTCTGGTTTTATATTCCAATTGCATACTTGTAACCATTCTATTCGCCTAAAGCAAACAAAATCAGAGCTTTGAATTTACCAATTTTATCCTTCGAAACCTGATTTGAACATTTCCAATGGAATACTGGAAACCTAATTTGAATTTCTCCAACATATGGA